CCTTTACTATTCCATCAAGAAAAAAATGTTTGGATTGCATTTCTTAACCCCTAATGTCGCTAGTTAACACAATCAATGCATTTTTTGTTTTTCAACACATCCCCCTTAATTTCTAAAATATCAGTCTCGACCAATTGGTTGATATGTAGGTTTATGGTAATAGTGCCGGACTTAATACATATGATATGAAAAATCTGAAAATATGAAGTGTAAGACATTGAAAATAAAACAATTTTGAATACTAAATCACCTTTATTTTTGAAGTATGCCATAAAATAATTCAGATTTTCGTTGAACATGCTTTCTTGGCTTTTTTTCTTTGCAAAGCTGTGCGTGCGAGCCATTATTTAAAACAGTCATTCTTTAAATGACTTCAACATTATTTAAAAGAGTAAAAACATGGTCAACCATTTGGTAGAGCAGCAGTCAAAGAGTCAATGTAATCAAATGAAATATCGACACAAAAGAGATTCATCCGCTGCACTTTAATCAGAAAGTGTGATGTTATACAGAGAAGAAAAGGTTGATAAGATTTGATACATTGATTCTATTTATAATAGCTTTTAATTTTAATTAAGCTAAACTGTTTGCTAATTTATTTGCTGCTAATGTTTACTATTTTTTATTTTTTTGGAGGGGGGGATAATAATAATATAACATATTACTGACTGTTTAACTTTTTATTTATAATGAAACAGCTCCAGATGAACATATTTAGTCATTTTTATTTGTATTTTTTGGAAGAGGGGCGTACGGTCCAAACACATGCACTATAGGTGAGTTAAAGAATAAACTAAATTGGCCGTAGTGTGAGTGTGAATGTGTTTGGGTGTTTTCCAGTACTGGGTTGCAGCTGGAAGCGCATCCGCTGAGTAAAACTAATGCTGAAATAGTTGGCGGTTCATTCCACTGTGGCGACCGCTGATGAATAAAGGGACTAAGCCAAAGGAAAATGAATGAATGAATTATTGCATTGAGGTAAAATAAACATATTGGTAAATAGAGTTAAGACATGCAGATTCTGCTAAAGGTTTTACTGAGATGTTTTGTTAGATTGGATGCAATCAGGAAGCTTTACACAGATATAGGAAAATTAAGACCTTTTTAAAATGATTTAAGACCAACAACACACTATTCCAGTGCTTTTAACACTTTTTAAGCCCTAAAAATTGTATTTGGTCACACTTTGTTGAATTTAAGTTACATTGCATCTACATGCTAATTATTTCTCATTAGATTATAAGTAGACTGATAGGTTAGGGTTACTGTAAGTTTCTAATAGTCAGTTAAAAGTCTGTTGAAGGGGCATATCTACAGATATTAAGCAGACAGTCTACTAATACTCAAACGGACCATCAAAATAAAGTGTTCCCTTGTATTTTAATTGTCATTTTAAGACTCCGCGGGCACCCTGTTATGGTTTAAAATAACCCAGAATATTCATAAACACACATTAGATTAACATCCTGACAAAAGACGGATGCAGAACATCATATAAGACATCATG